GTTACAGCCTGAATTTAAAATACCGGTAGATTAAATTCATATTTTGTGTCACTGGCCTACACACAATAACCCATAATTTTAAAGTGGAATTATGTTTTTTGAAATGTTTACAAATTAATAAAAAATGAAAACCTGAATTGTCTTGAGTCAATAAGTATTCAACCCCTTTGTTATGGCAAGCCTAAATAAGTTCAGGAGTAAAAATGTGCATAACAAGTCATTTAATAAGTTGCATGGACTCACTCTTTGTGCAATAATAGTGCTTAACATTATTTTTTTGAATGACTACCTCATCTCTGTACCCCACACATACAATTATCTGTAAGGTCCCACAGTCGAGCAGTGAATTTCAAACACAGATTCAATTTCAAACACAGCTCTCGTTCTCCGTGGCCGATGTGAGTAAGACATTTAAGCGTATTATCCCTCGCAAGGCTGCCGGACCAGAGGACGCGTGTCCTCAGAGCATGTGCAGAACGGCTGGCTGGAGTGTTTACGGACATATTCAATCTGTCTGTTGTCCCCACTTGCTTCAAGATGTCCACCATTGTTCCTGTACCCAAGAAAGCAAAGGTAACTGAACTAAATGACTATCGCCCTGTAGTGAAGTGCTTTGAGAGGCTAGTTAAAGATCATATCACCTCTACCTTACCTGACACCCTAGACCCACTTCAATTTGCTTACCGCCCCAATAGATCCACAGACGATGCAATTGCCATCGCACTGCACACTGCCGTATCCCATCTGTACAAGAGGAATACCTACGTCAGAATGCTGTTCATTGAATATAACTCAGCCTTCAACACCATAGTACCCTCCAAGCTCATCATTAAGCTTGGGGCCCTGGGTCTGAACCCCGCCCTGTGCAACTGGGTCCTGGACTTCCTGATGGTGAAAGTAGGAAACAACACCTCCACTTCGCTGATCCTCAACACTGGGGCCCCACAAGGGTGCGTGCTCAGCCCCCTCCTGTACTCCCTGTTCACCCATGACTGCGTGGCCACTCAATCATCAAGTTTGCAGACGACACAACAGTAGTAGGCCTGATTACCAACAATGACGCGACAGCCTACAGGGAGGAGTTGAGGGCCCTGGCGGAGTGGTGCCAGGAAAATAATCTCTCTGTCAACAAAACAAAGGAGCTGATCGTGGACTCAGGAAACAGCACAGGGAGCACGCCCCTATCCACATCGACGGGACCACAGTGGAGAAGGTGGTAAAGCTTCAAGTTCCTCGGCATACACCACTGACAATCACTGAAATGGTCCACACACACAGACAGTGTGCTGCAGGACTCTCCAGAGGGTGGTGCAGTCTGCCCAATGAATCACAATGCCTGCCCTCCAGGACACCTACAGCACCCGATGTCACAGGAAGGCCAAAAAGATCATCAAGGACATCAACCACCCGACCCACGGCCTGTTCACCCCGCTATCATCCAGAAGGTGAGATCAGTACAGGTGCATCAAAGCTGGGACAGAGAGACTGAAAAACAGCTTCTATCTCAAGGCCATCAGACTGTTAAATAGCCATCACTAGCCGGCTACCACCCAGTTACTCCACCCTGCACCTTAGAGGCTGCTGCCCTATATACATAGACATGGCCACTTTAATAATGGAACACTAGTCACTTTAATAATGTTTACATACTGCTTTACTCATCTCATATGTACAGTGGGGAAAAAAAGTATTTAGTCAGCCACCAATTGTGCAAGTTCTCCCACTTAAAAAGATGAGAGAGGCCTGTAATTTTCATCATAGGTACACGTCAACTATGACAGACAAAATGAGAAAAAAAAATCCAGAAAATCACATTGTAGGATTTTTAATGAATTGATTTGCAAATTATGGTGGAAAATAAGTATTTGGTCACCTACAAAGAAGCAAGATTTCTGGCTCTCACAGACCTGTAACTTCTTCTTTAAGAGGCTCCTCTGTCCTCCACTCGTTATCTGTAGTAATGGCACCTGTTTGAACTTGTTATCAGTATAAAAGACACCTGTCCACAACCTCAAACAGTCACACTCCAAACTCCACTATGGCCAAGACCAAAGAGCTGTCAAAGGACACCAGAAACAAAATTGTAGACCTGCACCAGGCTGGGAAGACTGCATCTGCAATAGGTAAGCAGCTTGGTTTGAAGAAATCAACTGTGGGAGCAATTATTAGGAAATGGAAGACATACAAGACCACTGATAATCTCCCTCGATCTGGGGCTCCATGCAAGATCTCACCCCGTGGGGTCAAAATGATCACAAGAACGGTGAGCAGAAATCCCAGAACCACACGGGGGGACCTAGTGAATGACCTGCAGAGAGCTGGGACCAAAGTAACAAAGCCTACCATCAGTAACACACTACGCCGCCAGGGACTCAAATCCTGCAGTGCTAGACGTGTCCCCCTGCTTAAGCCAGTACATGTCCAGGCCCGTCTGAAGTTTGCTAGAGTGCATCCAGAAGAGGATTGGGAAAATGTCATATGGTCAGATGAAACCAAAATAGAACTTTTTGGTAAAAACTCAACTCGTCGTGTTTGGAGGACAAAGAATGCTGAGTTGCATCCAAAGAACACCATACCTACTGTGAAGCATGGGGGTGAAAACATCATGCTTTGGGGCTGTTTTTCTGCAAAGGGACCAGGACGACTGATCCGTGTAAAGGAAACAATGAATGGGGCCATGTAACGTGAGATTTTGAGTGAAAACCTCCTTCCATCAGCAAGGGCATTGAAGATGAAACGTGGCTGGGTCTTTCAGCATGACAATGATCCCAAACACACCGCCCGGGCAACGAAGGAGTGGCTTCGTAAGAAGCATTTCAAGGTCCTGGAGTGGCCTAGCCAGTCTCCAGATCTCAACCCCATAGAAAATCTTTGGCGGGAGTTGAAAGTCCGTATTGCCCAGCGACAGCCCCAAAACATCACTGCTCTAGAGGAGATCTGCATGGAGGAATGGGCCAAAATACCAGCAACAGTGTGTGAAAACCTTGTGAAGACTTACAGAAAACGTTTGACCTGTGTCATTGCCAACAAAGGGTATATAACAAAGTATTGAGAAACTTTTGTTATTGACCAAATACTTATTTTCCACCATAATTTGCAAATAAATTCATTAAAAACCTTACAATGTGATTTTCTGGATTTTTTTTCCTAATTTTCTCTGTCATAGTTGACGTGGACCTATGATGAAAATTACAGCCCTCTCTCATATTTTTAAGTGGGAGAACTTGCACAATTGGTGGCTGACTAAATACTTTTTTTCCCCACTGTATATACTGTATTCTATTCTACTGTATTTTAGTCAATGCCACTCCGACATTGCTCGTCCTAATATTTAGATTAATTCCATTCTTTTACTTTTAGATTTGTGTATTGTTGTGAATTGTTAGATACTACTGCACTGTTGGAGCTAGGAACACAAGCATTTCGCTACATCCGCAATAACATTTGGACAATGCAAATAGTCCGGGTAGCCATGATTAGCTGTTCAGGAGTCTTATGGCTTGGGGGTAGAAGCTGTTAAGAAGCCTTTTGGACCTAGACTTGGTGCTCCGGTACCGCTTGCCGTGCGGTAGCAGAGAGAACAGTCTATGACTAGGGTGGCTGGAGTCTTTGACAATTTTTAGGGCCTTCATCTGACACCGCCTGGTATAGAGGTCCTGGATGGCAGGAAGCTTGGCCCCAGTGATGTACTGGGCCGTAAGCACTACCCTCTGTTGTGCCTTGCGGTCGGAGGCCGAGCAGTTGCCATACCAGGCGGTGATGCAACCAGTCAGGATGCTCTCGTGAGTGCTATGGGTCGGTAGTCATTTAGGCAGGTTATCTTAGTGTTCTTGGGTACAGGGACTATGGTGGTCTGCTTGAAACATGTTGGTATTACAGACTCAGTCAGGGACATGTTGAAAATGTCAGTGAAGACACTTGCCAGTTGGTCAGCGCATGCTCGGAGTACACGTCCTGGTAATTCCTCTGGTCCTGCGGCCTTGTGAATGTTGACCTGCTTAAAAATCTGATCACATAGTCATCTGGAACAGCTGATGCTCTCATGCATGCTTCAGTGTTGCTTGCCTCGAAGCGAGCATAGAAGTGATTTAGCTCGTCTGGTAGGCTCGTGTCACTGGGCAGCTCGTGGCTGTGCTTCCCTTTGTAGTGTGTAATAGTTTGCATGCCCTGCCACATCCAACGAGCGTTGGAGCCGGTGTAGTACGACTCAATCTTAGTCCTGTATTGACTCTTTGCCTGTTTGATGGTTCATCAGAGGGCATAGCGGGATTTCTTATAAGCGTCCGGGTTAGAGTCCCGCTCCTTGAAAGAGGCAGCTCTACCCTTTAGGTCAGTGCGGATGTTGCCTGTAATCCATGGCTTCTGGTTGGGGTATGTACGTACGGTCACTGTGGGGACGACGTCATCGATGCACTTATTGATGAAGCCAGTGACTGATGTGGTGTACTCCTCAATGGCATCGGAAGAATCCCGGAACATATTCCAGTCTGTGCTAGCAAAACAGTCCTGTTGCTTAGCATCTGCGTCATCTGACCACTTCCTTATTAACCGAGTCACCAGTGCTTCCTGCTTTAGTTTTTGCTTAAAATCAGGAGGATATAATTATGGTCAGATTTGCCAAATCGAGGGCGAGTTTTGTACGCATCTCTGTGTGTGGAGTAAAGGTTTTCTATAGTTTTTTCCCCTCTGGTTGCACATTTAACATGCTGGTAAAAATTAGGTAGAACGGATGTAAGTTTTCCTGCATTAAAGTCCCCAGCCACTAGGAGCGCTGCCGCTGGATGAGCATTTTCCTGTTTGCTTATGGCCTTATACAGCTCATTGAGTGCAATCTTAGCATCGGTTTTTGGTGGTAAATAGACAGCTATGAAAAATATAGAAGAAAACTCTCTTGGTAAATAGTGTGGTCTACAGCTTATTATGAGATACTCTACCTCAGGCGAGCAAAACCTTGAGACTTCCCGGTTCAATTGATTTGTTAAAAAGCCAATAAATGAGACTTCTTAATAATAACCAAAACTGTTTTTATTTATACAATCTGAAAATTTACACACAAAAAAATTAAAGGTAATATTACAAAGGATCAATAAATTTGCCAGCTTTCATTTCCCTAAATAGTACGAAACGGATCGTAATTTTTGTGTGTGGCTAATTTTAATAACCTATGTTCAATGTTAGAGTGAGTGTTTCTCAAAGTTACCTGACTTAACTTATTTATCCAGATTTGTTCAAATCCAACCCAGCCAGAAGAGCAAGGAAAACACCAATACATTAACACCCACCTCTCCAACCCCCTTCCCCACCAACCTGGAAACCCCATTTACAATTAGGTTTAATATGTTTTCCAAATAAACGATAGCATGCAAACATGAATGTATATTCCACTTTCACCCACAAAAAGGTAACTTTCCTGAAAGCCAGGAGTAAAAAAATTCAGTCAATTGCTGGTGCTGTAACCATGAAAAAGTATTTAGGAAACTATAGCAGGGATTCATTCCGATCAGCTTTAGATCATTGACATTTAAAAGGTCATTTCCGATTGAACCGACATATGCACCGTTCACCGTCAATGTGGTTTCCGCATTGCCGAAAAGGGCCAATCGGATTGAATCCCGGCCTGATATTTCCTAAAAGCTTAGTTATCCATCTCCACTCAACCAAACACTTGTTATAATAATACTAAAAAAAACATCTTAGGATCTTAATTGTATTTAATACATTTTAAAGAATCAATTGCAATGAAACAAAACATTTCTGCAGCTGAAAACACTGCAGACCAAGAGCTCTTTCCAACAGGCCAGAGAGTAGACTAACCCCTTGGACATGGTTCAGTAACCACAACCCAAACATGGCTACAGTCAAAGATCAAACATGAGGTCCACATTCGCGCACCTTTCATCCATAATTTCCCCCCAGTATTTTTCTTCCCACATTCCTAAACAACTTTGCAGTGGGATAGAGAATATTTGAATTTCCTATAGGTACAAGAAGATCTTGCCTTTATTCCCTAAAAACCCATTTATTAATCTTATATCCAGGACACGAGATCCATTCCTTTTACAACTTCTGTTTCTTTTTGGCTGGTTTGATGGGGATTATCTCCTCGTCAAAGTCTTCTTCTTCGCTAGACATGTCAGTGTCAGCATTGTCAGAGGCTGGTAGAGAAGAGGACAAGTTATCAATCACTAGGAAAAAAGGGGTCCTCGGTTAGGACCGTTTACTCTCTCACTGCCAACAGGTCAGAGAACTTACAGACTGTCCCTTTGAAGGAAAGATTCACCCATTTTGAATGTTATATAGTTTTTGTGCATCTCTAAGCGATGTTTTATCAATTCCCAGGGTCATTTCATGTTTTCATGTGTATCTGAGCTATTGCTGTTCAAGCAGGTAGAAATACAGCCGGTATGACGAGTTTTGCATCATATGACGGGTGAATCTTTCCTTTAATGTATATGTGGTCAAGATCATGTCCTTACAGGCCAATTATTCAATCAATCAATCATCTTACCAATGAGGTGTAGACCGCTAACGGTCACTGGTCCGGTACCCGACTTCAGTCTGATGGTGACGGGGGCCTTCAACTCAAACTCCCCAAGACTCACCTGAGGAAGAGAACAATTGAGATTGCCAACCACACACACCGCAAGACAGACATTTAATCCAAAATCGATCCCTAGCCCTTTCAGATCCACACAAATGCCTAAGAACTAGACAAACATCTGAAACCTCCAAGTGTTACAGGTGGCCAGTGCATTATGAGATTGTTTCATTTCCCACATGTGGAAAGTCAGAAACTTTACAAATAAGCAGCGTGTAGGAGATTGTAGAAGCGTCTTCTTTTGAATTCCTTCCCCTCCCAGTCTGAACTAGGTGGTGGTGTATGTGTGCCACTCACCATGGGCAGGCAGTTGATATGGAGGTTGGCGACGGGTACAGAGATAGTTTTCCCCTGGTGGTTCATAGCGGTCACCTCCACCACATTACTCTCCTCCTTCGCTCCCTCTCCTAGGCAAACCTAGAGATAGAAGACAACAGATTTATCCAGTATTTGTACAGCAGGGACTTCGCTCCCTCTAAATAGAATCATACAGTGGATTTGAAGAGGCATTACAACATTGATTCGCTAACTTTTCTGTATCAGAGGCGTGTACGCTATGCTACAGCAACAGAACTCTAGACCCTGGCACATCTGAGAACAATTGGTTCCAATGTCATGAGTAACGTTATCATGTCTCAGAAAAAAGTTAGTCTAACTGTACAAAAGAGAGTGAAGTGATATAGTTAGCTAGCTTAAAGTAAGACCTACCGTCCGTAGCTCGAGAAAGTGTTCCAAATCCTCCTCTTCGTCCCCTTGGAAAGTGTAGAACGGTACTTTGGAGGATAATTCACAACCTACGAAGATACAATGTTACAATTTTAGCTAACATTACAAGTGTGGTTCAGAGGCGGATGTAACATTAGCGCGTACAGCTGTGGTGTATAATAATTATGATAAAATGTAAATATATTTTAGCAGTCTTTCTTATAATACATTTCTCTCTAAATCGGTTACTCTCATTGTAAAAAAAAAAATACATTTTAAAAAGTGCAATCAAACACGATCCAAAATACAGCATGATGGCATCCCCACGTGTGCTGCTACCACGGACTTTATACAACACTTTGCTTTGGAAAAGGCGATCCTTACTGAATACATAACTCTCCAATCTCGATTGGCCAACACTCCCGTGGTCTTCTGAGCAGCAATCGTCTTCTCCGTGACTGTGCGACATAATTGATTGTGTGAAAATAAAGTAAATGTATTAGCTAGCTCGATGGAAGATCACTCTTGCTTTCAAGAGATACAACATATGACGCCAAAACAAATCGCGTCGCAGGGGTAAATACGTCATCGACATGTGTTTGAAGGGAAGGGGCCAAAGGTTTGGGCTTTGGTTTGAGTCTGGAGTCTACAGCATCAGTTATTGTTTGTCTATCAAGATAAGAAGTTAGAAAAACGAATTCCTTATCATAAACTAGGTTTCCATCCAATTGGCGACAGAATTTCATGCGAATATTGTAGAATCCGCATAACGAAAATATGCGCATTTTCCCACCAGTGGTGTTTCCACCAAATGGACTTGTGGCTAAAAATCAGTGCGTTATGACATAGTTCACACACAATGTACTTTTTCACTGAAGTTTTCATGCACCAAATAAAAATAAAAAGTTAATATGTTTCCATCGCATTTAACTCTACCGATAGTGATGAGGAAGCCCAGTGGCCGGCAGTGGGAGAAGATGGAGCGACATTCTGCACATTTTCTTATCATTAAACATTTGATCTCCATACAGTTTTCTGTTTTCAAAACTAGAATATGTAACAAACAGAGTGAACTGCGTTTTTTAGACTTTACCCTTTGCCAAAGTTTCAAATCATGTTTAGTTTAGGAGTGCAAGGGAAAATTGAGTTATTGCACCTGCGCACTTGAGTAGGCGTTCCCTAACGGAAATATGCAAATAAATGCTAGAACACGCCAATAGGATCTCACTAGCTCGTGCTTGGCTATGTCCACCTCCTTGCTTGTTCTGCCCACTATGATTAACTTGCTCCTATTGGAAACGACAGGCTCTGGTCTATCTTTGGGTATGACTTTCCGCGAATAAAAACTGTGGATGGAAACGTGGTTACAAAATGGTGGTGCATAAAGAAAGTAGACCTACACATATTTCACCCACCTTCTCGTCATTAAAGCTAGTTAAGGAGGGAAATTATGCCTTTGCAGCCTGAATGGAGGATGCTTTCTGTATGAGCCGGTCCATGGGGAACACGAGTGTGTTACTGGGCACATCCAGCCTAGTGCAGATATAGCGAACATGCACTGTCGACTGCTTAGGCTATATAACTAGTGGGGATCCTAATAAATACAGTAGTCTACATAATACCTGTTACATAGTTGCAGCTGTTTACTGATATGACTGGGTGTTGAGTTATGTAATCATAACACCTTTTTCACGAGATCATACAATAATACACTACTCAAAACACGTTTTACATTGTTTATTAATATTATGAACCATAATTTTCCTTTTACATACAAATTTTACAGAAATTATAGTTACATTATCAATAAACGTCCCCCGCAACAAACAAAAAAAAATCCCCATGTATGTATCACCAAATGCAGGCCTACAATTATCTCTTTCAACTGCAGCTATACTTTCAAAATCAGGAGGCAGAAGAAAAGCAATCGTCACAATAGCACAAGCAATGACAAAATGTCTGACGTTATGGAAAAGTGAATCCTTCAATACCAGTGGAGAACTGGGAGGATACATGTTGCTATTCTCTCTGGGAAATTGACTTGACCATCACAGAATAATATAGTCGGGAGGGTGACGTGTTGAATAGAGCAGACTAAAAGGACTGCAATCTAACTAGTGTTTAAAATATTTTAACTGATTCAGGCTTGTGCTCATTGAGAAATGACAAAAGTCAGAAAACAAAAATTAGCAAACCAAATACTTGTCTTCTTTTTTCCCTACTCCTTTACATGTTTTAATTGACTTGTCTATGTAGGTCGTGTCTGCGGCGACGTCATAGGTTGAGGACGGGAATCAAGCTATCAACTCCCCCGATGAACTAGACTGTAATATGGATGTATCTTTTTTAATTTTATGTTTGCTAAACCAAACAAATCTAATAAGCATCATGCACAGCACAGATGTACTGTATGTATCAAACCATCACATTGGCAGGCAGCTAGGACAAAGCAACAACATGAGCTACGGCTGCTCCTCATGTTACAAAGAGAAGGCTTCATGTTAGGATCAAAGTGATTTTTTTTACTCGCTTTACATTAACAAAAACAGCAAAATGAGAAACACGTTTGGAGTATAAAACATTTAACACATACGTAGATACAAAAGGCCTAGGTATAGTATATCGCCCCCTCCATTTCTCTCTTGGCACGGCCAGGGCCAGTGAAGGTAGTCAGTTAGTGCCACTCTAGCTTAACAACCCTAACCGGGAGAAGGGCAGCAATGGTATTCAAGTGGGTGCAATGTTGTAGGACGTTGCAGATAGAAATGTGGGGTACAGAGCCGACATGGTTCCTCATTCTGCTTGGCAGGTAATTGCGTCTGTCCTACACAGTATATTTCTAACTGAACGTTCTGTCCTGGATAAGATTCAGGTTAGTGGTTAGCATTCCTCAGCACATTGCGGGAAGTTGAGAAATAGAGCAGCTGTATTATAGCGGGAGTGCTGAAGCATCTGCAAACTATTTTGTCGTATTTTCACGTTTTCTAACATTAAGATAAGGTTAATCTCTCTTGGTTTAATAGCCAGAGCACTGGATTTTTGACTGAATCTAGAGACATTTCAGAGCAGATGGCCCACCCTTGAGTTAAGGTGCGTTCGTTTTTAGCTCTCCTGGGGTACTGGGAGGTCGGAGTTTGCCTTTTTAGACTATTCCATGCTAAATAAAATGTCAAAACAGCCCACCCTGGGCACCAAGCAAGCTAAAAAGAACCCACCCATTCTCAAGTCCCCTTGTGTATTTGTCAGGTGGAAGGTGGATTGACAGTAGATAAGAGTGCATGAGAATCACCTGTGATCTACAGTACAGGGCAATAGGCCCCTTGGAGATATCCACAGGTAGAAAAATCATATAGAAAGGCAATGAACCAAAACGCAATATAAAAGCAATATATAAACATACTGTAAAGAATAGGGACGTACATCTTTCCTTTCCAAAACGATTCTATACGTATCTAGATACGATACAGGAACGATACGTTTTAGTTTGAAACGATTCGGTGCGATTAGGTTTGATTAGAGAACGAATCGATGCGATTCGGTTCGATGCGATGCACTAACATTTGTTGCATAAACACATTCATTTTCCATTCTGAATTAAAATCTGCTGCTGATGGAGCTCATGAGCTGGGCCTCTCTGAGCTGGAACTGTCCGAGCTGACTTCTCCGTGTGTGTGTGTTCGTGTAAATGATGTATTTCTATGCGGTGTATGTACTATGCAGGCACCTGAGCTGAGCCATAAGGGAGACTAGGCATCTACCACCCCACTACAACTATCAGATTGGGGGGTGGGGGGGGCAATGTAGCATATGTTTTTTGTCCCCCCACTTTGATTCTGAAATCACCAACACCCACTAATGCAGATTAAGTGTTAGTGCTAGTAATGTATCAATATTTATTGTTTACAAAATTAGTCATAGCTAATTGTTTACACATTAGCTATGACATAGGCAATGAATATATAGCACAACCTTTTTCAAAATTGAATAGTTTTTACTGTTCGGAAGTTATGGAGTGATGTTATCCTCTCGCTTCGACCATGCAGTGCGCCTCCCAAAGGTGATTGGTGTCCTCGTTATGAAATGATCAACTTTACCCTGTATATCTAAAAATGACCATATACACTGATTGCTTAAAGTAAAACTACCAAACTATTGGTGATGGTGAACCTGAACAATCAAAACAAAATATATTGTAAACCCTGTTCTGCAGGTATAGGCAGAAGAGAGTTGTCTCCTCCAGTAAAACACAATTTTCAACAGCACATAGATAACAATAACCTAGCAAATTACATAGGTTGTCACTCAACTAATAAAGCCTAATATCAAGCAAGCCATTTTAGCATTTAAATGCTGAAGGTGCCGCACAGATATGTAAGTGCAGGAACAGGCCGCCTACCTTGTGTTGGTCAGCGCGCGAAGCTGGGCACTGTGCGCAGTGTGTGAATGCGACCCGCAATTCGGGGCTTTCCTGAATGTGGGCATTCCTTTCCTGAATATGCAGATGCAGGAATGCCCACATGCAGGAACGCCTCGAATTGCGCCCCGCAATTGCGCCCTTCTCATACACCTTTCAAACCAAGACGTTTTTTCAGCTAACTTTAGCATCCCGCCAACTTTTTGCAGACTTCTCTTTATATATGAAAGGTATTCCCGGAGACTTGATTGTGGTAAAGTTCTGCCTACAGCTTAGTATGAAATGTAGCCGTAATGCTGAGGCGGCATTGGCACGCTCTTAAGTTATTGATGGTTGCTAGGCAGCGCCCGTTACTACTCTCATCCTGGCAGTTCTAAACTTTGCGAGACATGTCACTTCACCCATCTTCGAATAGCCCACCACATGCACTGTTTTCTTAACTACTACTGGATGGATCCATAAAGAATTACCGTGGGAGTAAATATCACTGAATGACACAAATATTGGAATAAAGTAGGCTAATCCAATTGAAGGCATCAAATTGTTGCTTACTGAAACTCCCAAAGTCATCCAATTGTTATAATACATTTGATTGACGCAATAGCCTACCTGCGTGTGGTCAACTATTTCAGCACCGTTTCGCGCTGCTTTGAGACAAGCATGGGTCTTGATAAATCAATGTCAAATTTTTATTTTCACTGAATCTCCGTTTGGATATTGGTTAGACTACAATTAGGCTGTTGAAATGTTAGTGAAGTTGAGGTGAGTGCAGCTCATGATCATCTTGTCTAGTTGGCTCATTTATTAGCACTGATCAGAACATATGGCCAGCATGTTATGTGAATTCACTGGCAGTCGCTTTAGTAGCCTAGGCCTACTCCCGACCAAAAGCCTGCGACTTGTCTTAATCAATCAATGCGATTTTGTTTAACTGAATCTCCGTCTGTATATTTGGTTAATTCTCTGGCTGGGCAAATAAGTGGAGGTGGTATAGCTCATCTATTCGTTTGCTCATCCATCACTGATCAGAAACATTTAGCATGCAATAATGTAGCCGAAATTAAGTGTAGGCCTATTATTTTGTTCGATCACTTACAATCAACAAAAGCCTGCAGAGGTTGTGAAATATGAACACGAGACTCAAATGCTTTTGAAAATATAGATTGCTATTATTTTCTATCGGTATCATGATGAAGATACTGTAAGACCCTATGCCTGCTCCCTAACAAAGCAGAGTGAGGGTAGGAAATAGATGAAACGTGGATCAAAAAAACATGGGCTTGCCCTGGGCTGTTTCAAAATATCACTTTTTTATATGACATCGGTTCCACACATTGCCGTGACAAGTTGTGTGGGAAATATATTTGTTGTATTTTATTCTGTTATATTTAATTATATTCTTAGCCTACTATAAAATATGTGTGTCGACTGATCCGGGTAGCCTAAGTATGTCCTGTCTGTTTAATTAACAAAATAAAAATTTATTTCATGTGGATGCCGCAGCCATATAGGCTGCAGAGACCAGTAACATAATTGATCTCAAAATATGGCATTCTATTATTTTGGGGGACAAAATGAGTCTTATGTTTCTTAGATCCTGCCTAAAACTAATTAATAATGGATTTATTTTTATTATTTTATTTATTTATTTTTATAAATTTATTTATTTATTTGTGATGGTGTATATTCAATTGATTTATTACCCACATTGGCCCACGTCTACTCTCACTCCTACACTTGTGCACGGGAGATATTAAAAAAAGGCTTATCCTGGCAAGAATGTGGTAAAAATGTGACTGTATGAATTGGGCTCTAAAAAACATTGCCTGTATTTTTTTTTTTTTTTTTTTTTTACAGGCAACATACCGTAAAGTCTGTCTGTAAAGTGTATCAGTTTGACTAGGCTACTGATATTGCCTGGGGTTGTTCGGCATGCAAAATGACTTGTAGATCAATGACTGTCAACAGTTACATACAGTTCGACACGGAAGGAAAGAGGACGCATCAGTTGTCACAAAAGTTTAGAAGTATTTTTGGAAGGTAGAAAGAATGTAATATGAGCAAAAGATGTTGGTGAACCGGCGATTCGTAACATTTAAATCGATTTTCTGACCGATGTATGCTACATTTGGATCGGTTTGGGGTCCGCGGACCGGTGCACTTATATCTTCAAACATTTTAAATGGAGACCAATGCGTATCGGTAAATCGCTACATCCCTAGTAAAAAAGCATGGCCAAAAGCAAAGGGTTAAGGGAATAGACTGAGAACCATAACAGAAGTGACCACTTCCACATATTCCTTTCTCTCTCTTCAAGGTTATCCATTCCTACTCAGGTGGGATTCCAGAAAACAACTCTTGTTACTACTAGTCTTCAGAAGTTTCCTCGAACACTCAAACATATGATTTCCTCTGCATGTTTGTCACCGTTTAGGTAAACTATTGAGGAATCTGTAACACACCACAATGAGACAATTGGTTTTTCAAACTCAAGAGTGAAATGGACGCACTGGAAAACTCTACAGTATAGGTGGAATCATAAACCACTCTCCACTCTGTTAGCTAGGAGGACCACCTGTTTGAAGAGGTGGTGCACGAGAAAACGGTAATATACTTTAAAAGGCCCCTTTTCCCCAACCAGCACCCCCGTCAGCTAGGCCTATACTAGGGTGCAGTGTCAGGACCTACTACCAAGTCTCAAATCACTCCCTATTCTCTCTACACTGCACTACCTTTATCAGACAAAAGTAATGTGTTACATGGGGAATAGGGTGCCATTTCAGATGAAGTAATATCTAAATACACCCCCTGACTGTGTCTGTGTGAGACGCAGACAGACAGACCCCCACTCGGGGCTACTGACAGTCAAGTCGAATGGTCTGAAAGGCTAATGGAAGTGGATGGCACCTGACCAGCTCCTACTTCCTGCAGCCGTACGGGGAACAGTCACCACCGACTCCACTCTGGAGACCAAATACAGAAGGAAACCATCCGCCATCTTGGCTCAAATCAACACACACAGGGCTTTACAGGGCTGCAGATGACCTCTGTGGCTCTTACAGTTTCAGATTCTCTTTCAATCCGGCAGAGCTCTGGGCCTCTAGGGGCAGCACAGTGAATCTGTACAAGATGCCATGTTTCTGAACACTGTCTAAAAACAGGCTGCCTCTAGCCTTGTCTAGTCCAGGTGGTTGAAGTATAAAATCGTCAAGTATTGGTTGTTTTGTAAAGGTAACAGACAGTCAGACAGTGATCCTTAGCCTGGCTGACTTAAGCTCTCTATACAGCTCCATGGTTGCTTGGTTAGCCAGGCTAACTGTCTCAGAAGATGCGTCCCGTGTTGATGATGTCGTAGTTGTTCTTAGAGGCTGCGGCCCATGATGATGATGTCTTTGGGGAAGCCTTCCATCTTGGCGACCTCGAAGCAGCCAAGCTTACTGTAGAAGTCTATCATCCTCTTGTCTGCCTGACGCACCTCACAGAACGCACCAATGGAACCTGGGGGAGAAAGAGTAAACAGCTTAGCAACATAAGTAAGTAACAGTTACGATAACACTACTTAAAACATGCAGATATGCTTGATAATTTGTTATAAGCACGATGAGCCTTAATGTACTACTATACGGCTAATAATGTTACGTCTCTCTATGTAGGACTTTTTCAACTGACTCAAAATGGCTGGTATTTAGCTAGGACCATTACGAGATGATGATACAACATAAGTGGATCATACAATTTCATGACAAGCATCCTTATGCATTATAAATGGGATGTGGATGACTGAAGTTTTCGATAATGGATCATAGATGTTTGTTAGGGACGATTAATAGATGAGTTCCCCCCCCAGCAAATGTGCTTGATTGATTAAGACAGGTTCTGTAGACTCCACCTACCATTGGCCTTGAGGGAGGAGAGCAGGCACCCCATCATGCTCTTGGCCACGCTGGGGTCGGTGACCTTGGCATGGATGTCCACTTTGATGAGGGACGGGAAGTTGGAGAGGAACGACTCTGGGAGGCCCTCCTCCTCCTCATGGAAACTCAACATCATCTTCTACAGGAGGGGGAGAGAGATCGTTTGACATTTTAGTAATTTAACAGACGCTCTCATCCAGAGCAACGTACAATAATAACCCTTTCACACTATCATGCCCACCTGAACTGTACGGTCTCGGTTATTTTCCTTTGACATTGTACTTTCCAGCAACTATGGTGCATGCATAACCAGGCCAGCCCAGTACAGCTCGGCTTGGTTCGGCTCAGTTCAGTAGTGTGAAAGAGGTATTGTGAATTCGACCGAAGTAGGTAAGACAACCAGATATCATGTTCATTGCGCAACTTATGAAAATAAAAAAAAGTATCACAGCACTAGAATAAAAACAGTCAATTGAAAGAGACTCAAAGTCAACCCAGTCTCCTACCTCGGCTTCAGAGAGGTCCTTCTGGCAGTCGGGCTTGTTGTATTTCTCCTGCATGGAGGGTATCCAGCTCATCTTACACTTCTTGACAAAGGGCTTGACGTCCACAGTGCCCAGAGCGTAACCACATATCCCCTCCTCGTCCTCCAGGACAAACCCATAGTCTGGACTCAGGTTCAGAAACCCTCCTACTAACCTGGAGAACAATTTACATTAGGGTGAATTGTCTCCACTTCCATAGTTTTCAAAATAATGTTAGATGACAACTAAAATAAAAAAGTACTTACCTGTCTCCTATGAGGTCTGGCTCCTCTCCAGAGAAGGGCAGTTCCTCCACTCCTTCAGAGTACATCTCTCTGCAGATCTTATAAACCGCATGCTGGAACACACACGAGCAGTTAGAGGACTCAGCACACCGCGCACGCACACACACAGGAATGGAGGAGACTGCCGACAGTGCAGAATGGATAAACACTCCTGCAAAACAACCTCAAAGCAGTGTTTAAAACTAGGACAGCTCAGATACCAACAGTGTGCAGTTACACCCAGTCTGTTCAGCTAATCACTGACTGCATACAGGAATCATTGCTCCAGAAGGGAAATGACACCCACCCATACCCACACACAGACAGACACACCTACTGATGTAAGGCAAAGGTGCCATAAAAACTCTCCTCACCTCATCTTTAGCATAGTAGGGCCTGATGGAATAGATTTTGGATGTTGGCAGTGCGGGAGGAGGCTGGAAGAAAAGATCGTTTGCCCCGTCGATTGGCAACAATCTCTGTCGAGGGATCAAAACAGACAGGTTCAGTATAACCGACATCAGGCACTGGGTCTCTGCATTCACTGTCTCAGACTCAGAGCTCCTTTGCTACTGCTAAGACACTGTGGCACCAACAACAGCAGTGTCAAAGGAAGGTTAAACCAGCCAATGGTCCAAGACATGGAAGTAACGTTACTAAAAATGGCTTCTGTGGCACTTTTGGCTAGACAGTGAACAGCAGTAGCAAATCATCACATCTGTTTTTATGAGAGCATAGCACATACAGCATGTTTTCTTTTTAAAGACAGCGGAATATGAGTTACAGGTGTAAATGGGAGGAGCAGAGGCTTGGTCTGAGAAAGGTGCTGCTGGCTAAAGGAGATGCTGCTGCTCCATTCCCCGTGTCTGGTCTAAGGCATCGCTTCGAGTCGCTGCGCTGGGCAGGGCCGGGCCCTCCTGTAGAGAGAAGTCATGATGCTGGCGCTGACACAGAGACAAAACTCCAGGAGCAAAACTCCAGAAGTAAAACATTATTTGAACATTAAATTAAACATTAGATACACCAAGTCTTTTAAAGATCAACTACTACAGAGTTGAAAAAACCCTGTTTCCAACAGTCTAGGAGTATCGTTCAACAGTCTATTCTAGTCTAGGAGTATCGTGTTTGCTCATGGAGTTTGTTGTGCGGGCGGACTCGCTTGCGTTCTCGCTGGCGCTGCGATGCATGAGCTTGCGTGTGCAAAGGGGGGATTTTTGCACTGAGCTTTTCCTGCAAAGAAATGAGATGTCATGGAAATCCAACCCTAGCCATGCCACACGTTCAGGAGAGATGGCAGAACGCGTGCGCCAAGGAAAAGCAGCATCTCCTTTGGGCAGTCGGCTGAAAGAAATTCAAATTTGAGAAAACCACAGTGTGACTGCTTTAGCTTTTTATGATGTCAGTTCACCCTTTCCCTTTTTAGACTGGTTGGACCAATACCTTTAGAAACTCACAGGCACTCTCTGTCCAAGACATGGACTTATTATATAAGGATTCGGAGGTATACACCTTTTAAGAGATTCAGACCTAGTCATGATCAGCCCACCTTAGACAGACCAAACCCTTTCGCGTCTGCTGTACACAACAACCACTTTCTCTTCAACACAAAACTCGTATTTTCTTTACTAGCATTACACCACATTTATGATCTGTGAAGTCAGTGCATAGGTATATACCTGGAACTCTCCTGCTAGACCGCCCCTAAAGGCCCAAGGCTCTTGGTCTCCACTAAGGAACTGTGCAGTGGCCTGACTACGGCACCCTGTTAGGAGCACACAGCGGCGGAGGGACACAGTGTTACCATGGGGACCAGAGATAAGACGGGACTTGCTGACAGATGGTGGTCGTGGTGGTGGGGGGTTCGAGGAGGGTCTTAGGTTATCATTATTTTCCAATCACTCTAAAGAAAATAAAAAGCTTTTTTAAATAATAAAATGGGTTTGGTTGGACTTGGGGCTCGAGCAACTAAAGCTTACTTTGGTGTGTCTCACTGGGAGGAATGATTGAGGTTATAAAGCCTGAATCAATTAGACTCAATCGACAGTCGGATTCTGATTCACTTGCAGTGAGAACTTCCAAGTCATCCATGCTCTAACTAGCTTAACTGACCTTCGATCAGTGTTTAGCGGGAACTCGTCCTACTGTGTAAGCTTCAGCTGCCGTCGCCCCACTGATCCCAGCACCTCATCTGAAGTCACATTCTCATCTAACCTGCCTCAGCACCTGACCAGGGAGCAGGACTCAAACCAGGAAGAGCGAGAGAAGGCTTAAAAAACACACACACTAAAAAGGTTGCAAAGTTTCAGTGCACCTCAAGTGCTCGCTTGACTGGGGAGTACCTACTGTGGTGTTGGCATTCTTACGAGAGCAGCCTTGAAAATTGTATTGTCAGTCACACCTTTCAAACATATGAGTGACTGCCATCATTGGTTGTTGTGCCTGTGAAGCACTTTGTGACAAGAAAGTGCTATATAGATCAGATTGATAGACGATGCCACACCTGGTGATGAGGTCTCCTGTCATGTGAAGAGACAGACGCTGCTATAACATACAGTAACAACCTCACCCTGACTAGAACACTTCCTCTGACGAGGCTGGCTCCACTCATCACACAGATGCACCCACAGACAGGAACTCACAGCTAGCTTTTAGCTGCTTGGGAGTGAAGCACCACCACACTGGAGACACGTATCTCTATCTTAATAAAACAACTGTTATTTCAGTTTTGTTCTGCTTACCTCAGTGTGTCATGTTGCAATGTAAGTTGCTAGTCGTGAACGAACGACTAGTCACTTTCAAAGCATATTAAAGACTGAAAAATATGGTGTATACTGTAGTTAGTACCCCCAGACTACGGAGGATGGTAGACAGACTAACATTCTGAAAGCCAGGTGTGAACCCCAGTGTGTAGGTGCATCCAGTGCCGGTCCAAGACACATCTATGAAAAGGCCTACTGGTAAAAACAAACATGTTAGAGAGAAACGAACGCTGTCAGAGAAAAAAGATTCAAACACGTTAACGCTTATCGCTCGCTACTACAGCTCGCTGCGCAAAATGTGACTGTGACTTCATCCGGAGGGCTGCTTTCCTTCCATCACCCAAATCAAATCTCTTAATCGGATATGTAAATCAATCAAAACAAAAACCAATCAAAAAGGTGACAAGGCCTGCAGTGAGCATACGTCGGCCAGTGGCGATCCAATAGCAGTAGAAACTGGTACTGAGGATTTGTCCATCTGCACACGGTGAAAGGAGAGAACAGTAGAAGATAGTCGTTAGTAAATGTGTCTCAGTAACAACACCAGGGAGGAGAAGGTAAGACTGACTGCCGGCTGCACAACTACAGACCAGTAAGGGGATGATACATAGAATAGAGCTCTTAGATTGGGCCTTGAGGGTGGTTTAGTTATAAAAGAGAAGCTGTTGTCTACACAACAACTGGTTGACCTGATGAGGAAAATCCTTTATGTTGCTTTATGTTCTGTTTAGCTAGCCCACAGCTGGTGCTGCTTTAGAAAGACAGAGACCTCCACTAAATGATTCATAAAGACCTACAAAATGGTTCTCTACCGTCTAAAATGTTATACTGGTTTATAATGCCGTTATAGCTATGATTTAGCAGTGGTTCTGTCAGTGTGGGTTTGCTGCCTGCTGTTTACTGTATAGGTTAGTCTTCTGCTCTGGACAGAAACCTGTGAATGAAACATGGTTACTGTGTAACCTACAGGCCATGCTAGTGCTTCAGGATTGATCAAAACAGCTTCCTATGGCTGCAGACGACCTCTCACAGAAAAGTTGTTCTAACTGTATAAGAGTGCATTTGGGATCCCTGACTGGTTGACTCATTATCAAGACATGTAACATGTAGGTGAGGTGTGTGTGTGTGTGTGTAAGACGGGAGTGTTTTTAATTCCAAAGAGAATTGGCTCTGATACAGCTAGAAGAAACTATTCAGGAGAGGCCAGGCACTCGGAGCCAGCAATAACACTGGTACACAGAGCATGTGTTGAGAATAGGCTCTGCACTGACCTTGTAGACCTCTGCAGTTACTGTATTAGTGAGTTTCAATATGGTAACATTTTGTACCAGTAATACATTGGCTCAGAGATTTCATCGTTATCTTTGTTTATGCACTAGAATGGCCTTCCACAGTTAGTCACCTTGCTCTCCAAGCTCGTTGGCACGCTTGGGGGTGGGAGTGGCGCGGTTCCCCTTGTGTCCCACCCCCCAGACAGAGGGCTGGCAGCAGGTGTGTGTGTGAACGCAGAAGCCAGTTACTAGACACATAGCAAGCAGCAATACCCCATATCTGGACCTGTCACCACTGATACTGACAATTCACTTAGTTGTGGTGGACCAATTTATGTAGGGGGCTAGCAGTGCAAGCGGCATTCAGTCAGTCAAAAAGTAAAATCAACTAATCAAAAAGTGCAATAAAACAGAATCAAAACAACGATTGAAAAGCAATGTAGCAGATGCCTGTCTGTCACTTGTGGATATATAAGATAAGCCTAAATTATCCTAATACTAGTTGTAAGAGCTGACAACAAGAGTGCTCTAGACTCACCTTGAACACAGGTGAAAGCCAAGAGGTGAAATGTTGCATTGCCAAGTCTACAAATATGCTTTAGCCATCTGTTAAGCAGACTGGGCAGTGGGCACTATAGTTACAGTACATGTGCAGATGATTAATATGTGCATGACTAAACTAGCTAAGACTGGGATGGCAGATGAAAGATCATACAGCTGCACTATCAATCTTTATCATGGAGAAACTGCATAAACATATCTATAATGCTCATACAGAAGCTTACCTCAATGATATTCACCTTTGTGTATGTTTTGAGCTTATATAAAACTAGCCATGAGACTAGCTGCATTATCACTGGATTAATAACTTCACCACAAAGCTTAAAGACGTGACATTTATTTTTTTCATGCCTACAGTATATGCGTGTAATGTCCTACACTTACAGTGAGGGAAAAAAGTATTTGATCCCCTGCTGATTTTGTACGTTTGCCCACTGAGAAAGAAATGATCAGTCTATAATTTTAATGGTAGGTTTATTTGAA